GGCAGCCTATGAGGGGAAGAGCCTCAGACAACTGTATCTTGGCCCCCAAGTGATGTCCAACTCTGTTTACCTTGGCCTGGATGTCCTTAACCTGTCTCACAAACACAGGTCACTATTTACAGCCTGGGAGAGGAATCATACATCCACCCATCAACCCGTGCCTATAAGAAAGCCCTAGCCCTGGAATGGAATGAATTCCATGACAGTTCAAAGAGCACTTCCTGGATGTGCCCCAGAGTGGAGAAGTGTGGGAATCTCCATTTGTCTTGGGAGAGACTCTTCTTCTGCAGAAGTGTCAGATGTTTCTCTGCTCCTGCCAGGACTACAGAGTTCAAAGGGGCAAACGGGGACAGATAAGCAGGAGCCTGTCTCAGATCAGGGTGTCTTCTGACAAGGCAAGACTAAAGGGCAATAGTATTATAGGCTACCCTAAGACTGGGAGAGTGCCCAGAGTAAGGGGCTCTGAGCAGGGCCCAGATTGGAGGAGACTAGGTCATCTCTCTGCTGTTGCAACTGAATGATGGCCACCTGCTGTTGTGCCTTTGTAAGTACAGACCCTAAGACTCCAGATTTCCTTGCCATGTAAAGCTAACTCCTAGTAGGAACTATGAAGAATCCTTTGTCCCCTGCCATCCCCACCCCACCCCCACCACATCTTAAAGAAACACCTGAGGGAAATGCCAAGATGTCACATCCAACCCCAAGCATTAGGTAACCTATGCCCACTTGTAATGGCTTCAGATCAGGGAACTGTGAGCCAGAGAGAAAGAAGTCTCAGGCAAGACTCAGTGTTTGTCAGAGACAACAGAAAACTATTCTTCTGGATCCCTGTCTAGTGTTTACTACACCATATATCATTCCAGCCAAGAAAGAGTCAAGCTCCACTACCTATTGAGTTTTATCTCTTCTAAATCTGGGTTGCTTTTAATGCAAAGCTGAAGTACAGACTGATTAGAGCCACTCAGGACTCCTTGTCTGGAAGCTGTGTGATCATGATAAGGTAGTGTGAGTGAGTGTGACTGAGAGTGCAATTCAAAACTCGGCGGGCTGCGGCGCCAACGGTACCCATCAAAGGCCAACTATTCTGCAACCATTGTTCTTGGAATTTTACAAGTATTTAATTGATAATTAACATTTGAATTTATGTTTCAGTAAAAGCATGTGTTTGATTGTACATGGATGAATTGAGAGCTGTTTTTCACCTGATCCATTTAGATTTCCATGTCGAATTTTTGGTTTTGTTCTTAACTAGGTTGTAACTAGTTGAACAAGTCGGGGTAAATTGACAACACCAAAATCCCACCAATCCTTTCATGTGTCTACTCTTTTCCTAAAACATTGAATGGCTGTATTGACTCATCAAAGGCTTTCCATAGTTTTGGATAGATAGAAGCACAATGGAGCAGATACTAGAAAGCTATTTTTAGAAAGAGTCCTTAGCCTAAGAGCTTTGCATGTAGGCTTAATCTATTGTAGCCCTTTGATTCTGGTATTTGGTAGCTATGTCTCCTAGGCTTCCTTTACATGAATAAACAATGGTTAATATCCCATGAGTTAAATTGTGATGGTCATGTTCATTCAGAAAGAGGTCCTGATTGATCCATGCTTGGTACATGATTAGGGAGAAGGGGCCTTTCCTTGCCAAAGTGGTATGAATCACAAGCATGAGGCCTACTTGGAATCAGCTATGGAAAGATTTATTATTTTCTAGTCAGAGTGTATGGGACCTATTTGGTGGCAATTTTCAAATGCAGTCCCTGCCTGTGAGCGAGTGAGCAGCATTGATATGACTCAGAAAATACATTTTGACCTCCTCCATTTGAGCAAGGCTTACTCTGTTGGATAAAGTTGTCACTGTATAAACATATGTATCTGCCATGTGTTTCCAGAGTCTTAGAGCTGCTGATGGGCACTGGGAGATGGATTCATGCTACAGAATCCCGAACAGAACAAGGCTACCGCGGCATCTCGGTGCTAAAGTATGTCAGGCCCGGGTCAGGCATTTCATGGGCCTGGCCTGTAACTGAATGAGCTGTACCTGTTACTTCACCTTCAGTTATGCTGGAGCTTCCCATTTGTTCAACAAGCACAATGCTACTCCCTTGCCAACTTATGTGGGCTCTTGTAAGGATTAAACAATGAAGGCGATTTTCTTCTTCAGTATTATAACGGCATAACTGATTTTTAAAAACTGTATTAAAACATAACATTTATTATTTGAAATTGTGTTTATTGTGAAATAATTGCCATAACTAGGCTAGCTGACATATTTATTACCACACATGGTCATCTTTGTGTGTGTGGTCTAAAAGCTCCAGGTGAAGTCTCTCAGCAAATTTAATTATACTAATTGAAATTTGTACACAATAAACATGGCACTATTAGCTACAGCCAGCAGGTGATTTTTAGACTGAAAACTGCTAAGTATAAGTGTCATTCTGGCCATAATTTTGTTTTTGTTTTTCTTTTTCAAGACATGGTTTCTCTGTGAAACAGCTCTGGCCATCCTAGAACTCGATTTGTAGACCAGGCTGTCATTGAACTCACAGAGATCCACCTGCTTCTGCCTCCCAAGTGCTGGGTTTAAAGGCATGAACCACCACCACTTGGTCCTCTGGTCACAACTCTTATTCATTCTCATGGAGTATGTACTGGTGAAGTGGTTAGGGGCTTTCTGTGCCTCTTAACCCATCACCCAGGCTTCTTTTCCTTCTATATGAGTTTATGAGAGAGAACTAGTCACAACTGGCTTAAAATGTAGTAGAATCTCAAGTGTGAAGGACAACACAGAAGGCTATAGGGGAAGTAGTGGCTTCAGAAGAAATATAAATTTCAACTAGGCCAGGACAGCGAGCAGTCAGAGTAATAATGGGATGTAGGAGAATTTTTAAATCACATGTCTAGCTCCAGAAGGATATATGCACATCACTTGTTTTGTTGTCTAAGCTTTTCAGAATTTTATCCCCAGGCTAGTTGTGAAACAACACTGAAAGTCTTATGTATAGTAAAATGTCAAGGCATTCTGTTCCCTACTCCCAGTTCAAACGCTTGCAATTCATAACCTGAACAAAAAAATTCACAGTAAATTTTGGATTTGACAGGCATGACATATTTATGAGTGGGCGGTTTTATTTATTAATTCTATTCATAGTGCAATTGTCCTTCAGTATCCAAGAGAGATTTATTGTGGAACTCCTTATGGATGCCAAAACTGTGTATGGTCAAATTCCTTATGTAATATGATCTACATACATTGTCCTACATAGTTATTAGATACAAATTACTTACGATACCTTATACATTGTAAATGCTTTACACTTTTTAGTAACTATTGACCAGAAGAGAATATATAAATATATAAATATACATATCATATACATATATATATATATATTAAATCTTTTAAGCATGGGATTGGTTGAATCCAGGAATGCAGAATCTGCAGATAAGAAGGGATAACATATCATCAGGCACCTATGTGTTGGGTATTGCACAGTGCCACTTGTTCATATAATAGACTACGGACTGCATTATTAAGAGAAATTATGGAATTACTTTCTAAGAACTAGAAAAATATGGCAATCTGTATTTAATTATGCACAGAACTAGCAACATGGAATGTCGATAATTATACCTAATAATACAGGAAACTCAAAGAGAAACATTTCATAACCCTCTCTCTTGCTGTCCCACTGAGTTACACTTGGACAGTTAAATCTTCTGAGGATCACGCTGAAGCCTAAGGCCAGTGTTGTACACTTGTCATCATCCGACCCTGATCCCTTACACCTCACTCTTATCCTCCTTGAACTGGGAGTAGGGAACAGAATGCCTTGACATTTTACTATACATAAGACTTTCAGTGTTGTTTCACAACTAGCCTGGGGATAAAATTCTGAAAAGCTTAGACAACAAAACAAGTGATGTGCATATATCCTTCTGTTGCATACTAAAATATACTCACACACTTGACCTTGATGCAATGCTGCCACCCATTTGCTAAGGTTAAAATAAGGCAAAAATTATAAACACCTATATTCAGTGTATTTCTGTTTTATGTTTCATTTAATTTTACCTAAAAATTTCCCTCTTGGTCCCATGGAATATGGATCAAAACCCTTACAATCCAGGCTAATCTAATTCCAACTTGTAACTGCATTAAAAATCCACATGAACCTAATAACCCCACAGTTCCTAGTCCTTCTGAACCTTCTCAAACCTGCCCTTCTTTGGACATGCATCCCCAAGAGTGTTCCCTGGTCCAGGAACAGCCCCAGTCAGTTTGCACATTGTCCCCTCCAGTCTCTGTTTGAAGCTCCTCCCTCCATGTCTACCATCCACCATCATTTTCTTCTACTGAGCCTTGTCCCACAGCCCCGAGTGAGGCCATCTGTGAGATGGGCCTAGTGGTCCATACTTTCTTTGAGCTTATTAACTGTTCTTCTATTCCTGGAAGTTGGGAAAAATATTTACAGAGATAACAGTGGTTTCACAGTCTTGTTTGTGTCTTGTTGGAGAATAATACTCAAATGTAGAGGACTGGAATGACTCTAAGCCTCAGGGTATAGGGAAGGTGACAGGCTTCAGAAACTTCCAGACCCAGACTGATTCAATTCAATGTTGCCTTTGGAGTGAGCTTTCTGCTGGGATCTTGGACAGTCACAGGCTGCAGAGAAGGCAGGACCTATCTCAGCCTTTCTGGTATTCCTGTGGTATGCATGCTGGTTTTGGGGGAGTCCATAATTCACATTAGATACAGTGATGTTGACTTGCTAGACTGTGAAGCCCTGAACCCCTACACTCTCCCATCCACACACATAATGGAATAGGCAAAGGTCTCCTTCTAGGAGTTGCTGATCCAGCCAGGTGACAAAAAAATAAGAGGAAGGGCCCACATTACCCTTACCTCTAGTTCTGAGCCTCTCCTGTATCCAGTTCAGGCAGGATCTTCTCCAGGAGATAATCATACATTCTTTCCTTCCTCTTTCTCCACCCTACAGGTTTGGAATAAATTGCCTCATCCAGTTTGAAGACTTTGCCAACGCCAATGCCTTCCGTCTGCTCAACAAATACCGCAACAAGTACTGCATGTTCAATGATGATATCCAAGGTACATTTTCATCTACCTAATGAAGTCACTGGGTAGTAACACTTTTTCACAAGGTTCACCCAAATGCCAAAAGCAGGGGGAAAGTCATCTCATAACTGGTTTGCTGCCAAAAGCTGTAAAAGAAACAATATTAGACTTGGAGTCAGCTTCCACTTGGCTGATTCTTAGCTCTGTGACCTTGAATATATCTCTCCACTTGGCTAAGCTTTGGTGAGCTTAAGCAACAAATGGTAATCATTACTACTTCAGAGGTAGGTAAGAACTGTATGATTTTATATTTGTAAGAAATTCTATATACTCCTGTCAATTCTTAGCTACTTGAACTTGGAAAATCACTTCTCTGACTATAGTTTTATTATCTGTTCTGAGAGGACAATACCTACATCAGGAAAGCACTATAAAGATTTCAAGATTTGGAGATAGGAGACTGGAAGCCTCAGTGGATAAATGGCACTTGCTGCCCAAGCATGAAGATATGAGTTTGGATTCCACGCTCACATGAAAAGCCTACTGCACATGGCCATAACCCCAGTGTGGCTGATACAGGAGGATCACTGGGGTTTTCTGACCTGCAGACTAGCTCCCATTTCAACAAGAGGCCCTGTCTCCATAAAATAAGTCTCAAGTGATACCCAATGTCCTCCTCTGCTTCTAGGCATACTGGTCAACATGTGCATACATCACACACACACACACATGCACATACTGTGCACATATATGCACATGCACGTGTACACAGAGAGAGAAATACACAGAGGGAGAGCTTATACACAGAATATATTACTTTATGATTTATCAGATCAAAACAACCATGCTCATAAAAATGGCTTTCCCTATTAAAAATTGCTTTCCATAGCCATATCTTGCATATCTTGCTTGCAGACTTTCCAAACACAAGGTCATGACAAATCTTTTCCTAAGCTTGGCTGACAGTTATAAGCTTGAAAGACCCTGGCAAGCTGAGACACAGAGCATTTCAAAAGTCAGAGTAAAGCATCTTTTAACTCCATGTCACTTGGTCACCTGTTCTAGAGCCTTAAAACCCCCTAAAGGAAGTTGTTTCTTGCTTTGGAGGTACCTGTAACAGAAGCTGGAACAGAACGGAGGCCTCTCAGCAATGTTCTTATCTGACCCAGGAGTTCTCATGAGAATGGTCCCTAGATTCTTGTAAGGCCCAAGGAAAACCTTGATGACTCCACATATCTTGTTACTTAACAGATGAAGTTTGGTGAACCAAGCCTGTTAAACCAATGTCCCGTATCGGATGAAAAGAATGAGCTGGTATGGAATAGTCTCATTCTTGAGTAAAAGTTGACTGACATTCTACAGCTGATTCCTCACACACCCGAAATGAGAGCAACTCCTTATCAAGACATTTAGGTGTATAGGAGAGAGAACATAAACCCAGTTTAAAGTTTATTGCTGAATATTTGTGACCTATTAGGCACTATTCTAGGAACTGAACACAATTTAATCTGCTAAGATACTAGTATCTTGGTCTTCTGAGTAAAGAAACTGAGTCACAAAGAGAATAAGTAACTTGCCTACCCAGTCAGTGTCCAATTGAAGTTTAGTTCAGGTATCTGAACTCTAAATTCCACATTCATAACCATTTACCATACTTCTCCAGGTCTAAAACCACAAAGCCAAGTGCCTCTTTTTTTTTTTTTTTTTTTTTTTTTTTTTTTTTATAAGGTAACAAGAATATGACAAATGATTTTTGGGGGATTTGTTGTGATATAATGCAGTTATCGCACACTGTTAGAGAATTGATTTCAAATATTATTGCAGGGCCTGGGGATTGGATGCCCAGAAAAAGGATGGCCCAGAGTGAAAGCTTAGCTTCTCGTACTGTCTTTCCAGCCCCCTGATGCCTGGGTCTGCAATAGGCAACAGTGGGCTGTTCCAGCCACATCCTAACAAGCCAGGTACTCTCCGGCTTCATAGTACAGTCCAAGAGAACTGGCTGGAGGTGGGAGAGCATCCTCTCACTCCCTGCCAGTCAACTCACAACCAACCTAACTGGCAAGCATGTTCCTGTGGCCTTGGAGGAAGCACCTGCTGACTAGCTCCCCTGTAATGCCACTCACATATGAGTCAGCAACAGGATACCCATGCTCAGAGTCCCCTGGGCTGCCAAGTGGAAAGCAAGTCCATATGGTCAGGACACCTGGTACACAGGCTCCAGAGGTACAGTCAGACAGATAGACTTATAATCATAAACATGTTATGACATCCTGATAAACATGCACAGGAACACAGCAGGTCCCAGCTGTCCACCCACCTCCATCTTCCCCACAATGATGAATGCCAGAATGTTCCTCTAAGGTGGAAACAATGACTCACTATGCTAGCCATCTCTTTGTGAGAAATTTGACAATCATTTGCTGAACTACATGGGTTGGGGAGCAAGGACCTCTTCCCTGTCCTCTAATGGTTCCTTCAGTTTGTTTGGTTGGATTTTGAGATTAAAGTCTTACAGAGCCAAGACTGGTCTAGAACTCCTGTTCCTCTAATCTCTACTTCCCAAGTGCTGCAGGTACAGAAGTCTGCCACCATGTCCAGCTATTTCCCATCATCTTCACCGGAGGAATTCCTTTATCCTTCAAGACTCAGCTCAATGGGTGACCTGCCCAGAAATGGTCTAGTTTGGAAAGCCACCCAGGTGCTCTCCTCCATCTGTTCTTACAGTGGTCAATTCTACATTATTATAACAAATACCTGAGAAAACAGCTTAAAGAAGGCAAGACTTATTGTGGTTCAGTTATATAGAGGTTTTAGTCTATGGTCCATTGTTTCTGGGTCCGTGATGAGGCTGAGCATCATGGCAGGAGTTGGGACAGAACTAGTTCTGATAGCAACAGAAAGTAGTGAAAAAGAGCAAAAGGATCTTGGGACCAAATACATCCTTGAGATGCATGCCCCTGGCAATAATTTCCTCCAGCCAGGCCCTACTTCCTAATTCTCATCATTTCCTAACACCCTAAAATTCTAAATCCACCAATATACAGTGAAATCAGAGCCCTCATAATCCAATCACCTCTCAATAACTGGATCTACCAGCAAGGGCCAAGATTTCAACAAGCTAGCTCTTGAAAGGTGCATCATAGCCAAACTTCACTCTAGATGATTCTATTACATTCTCTACCTCTCAGTAAAATGATAACCTTCTGGAGTCAGCAAGCATGGCTTACTTATTTATGATCACTAGTTCCCAATGCAATGATTGATACATTGTATGCATGAGTATACATGATATCTACAAATATACAAACAACATTGTCATCATCACACCTATTCCTGTAGAAATGTCTATGCTGGCTGGTCCTTGCCTTGCAGCCTCTCTCTTTCCTAATCATCATACATATTCTCACATACAAATGCACTTCACATGTACTCATACTCAGATCAGATTTTAGACATGTATATGCATGTGTATAATTTTATATGATGAACAATTTTTAAAAATAAATCAGTGCATTTATGTAAAATCATTGAGTTCTAAGTCCTATCTATAGACTCTCAAACAAAGCCAAGTAGAAGTTTTCTGATTCTCTCTCTCTCTCTCTCTCTCTCTCATACACACACACACACACACACACACACACACACACACACACACACAAAATGGGAGATAAATTTCCTATTTTTTTTCTCAGAAATTAGCACAGAAGTAATGAATTTAGAACTCATGAGAACAAATGGGAAACAGAACAAGGATGACAGTTCTATAAGATCATTGCAGCCTTTGGTGATCACAGCCTGATATATAGATATGCCCTTATAAGTAATCAAAACATGAAGAGGTTGGCATGGAGATCCCACAGTCCTGCCCTGCCCCAGGCTACCCTCCCCACTCACAAAGAAATGTGTCTAATCATTCCAAACCCATTCTGGACTGAGCTCCTAGTGGAGTTAGTTGAGGCTTTGAGATCTACACTGAGTCTCTATATGGTTCTTTGCCTCTGTCCACATAAGCACAAGCTTGGACAAGTACAGCCCACACCGGATGATGTGAGAATAGTCTCAGAATTTGCCTGTGAGCCCATAGAAAAGACCAGAACCAAGTAGCCCCCATGAAAATGAGACAAGAGCCATGCTGCCTGCTTTAAGCATAAGCCCTGCCTCATACCCTCAGTGGAACAGGGAAAGATGGTACATGGTTCTCAGGAGCCCCCAGGCTGAGCTTCCTATAGGTTCCACTGAGTGCAACATCAAGCACCTTATCTGTACTGTCTGAATCATAGATCCCATGGGGCCCACAGGGTTGAATTCTGGAGCCAGAGCACAGAAAGACTTCCTTCTGTTTTCGTCCTCTGTTCTCATCCCAGCTCTGGCTCATAGGAATCCTCTACCCAGGCCAGGCTGGTTCTTGATGAACAGAGCTGCCGATACACTGACTCATTGCTGGCAGCCTCGTCAGGAATTTTGGAACAGGCTCAGGTGACTTTTGTTGTTTCAGCTGGGAATTTCTCTGCCCTTGGGGGAGAAGAGAGAGGAAGGGAAGAGGGATGGTAGTGGGGGTAGTCATGCTGGGGAGAGACTAATTTTGACCTCAGGAAGGATAGCTTGCATGAAAGGAATCAGGTACTAAACACTGCTGACTTAGTGACCTTGGACCCTGACCTCCAATGCAAGCTAACCACATAGTGTGACTGGGGAACAAAAAAAAAAAATTGGTAGCCTGCCAGGATACCTGTATTCTTTGCCACCCCTTCACAATTTTTGTTTGATTGTTTATTCTTAAGGTAAGGTCTTGCTGTGTAGTGTGTAGCCCAGGCTAGCCTTAAGCTTGAGGTGATCTTCCTGCCTCTACTGCCTTTCTACTGCTTGGGATCATGAAAGTGCATGCCCCTAAGCCTAGCAGTCTTTCTTACTTTCAAGCTTCAGTGTATCATCCAAATTAGTTAACAGACATCTAAGATCTATCTCCAAACCCTCACTTTTCTGCTCTGTGATTCTAGCCAAGTGGTATATGTTTTTCTAGCGTTCTTTACCTT